AGCTTAGCTTAGCATAAAGACCATAACACACCAGCACCTCTAGCTCACTCATTAAGTCTCAGGCATTATCTCACAATGTTTGTGTGCGAATTAAACATATGAGACATAATGTATATATATATATATATATATATATATATATAATAATTACTGAGTTTTAACCCTGACAAAGCCAGGCGAACTGTTTCCCTCTGTTTTCAGTCTTTATGCTAAGCTAAGCTAACTGGGTGCTGGTTCCAGCTACATCCAGCTTCCTGAGAGAGAACTGGTTTCAGATGATTTATTTGCAGCAGTGACCTGCCGGCCTCACTGCTACATGTTGTTCTGTCTTCCACAGCGGCTCACAAGACTCTGAGGAGCCTCTTGACAGAAAGAGCAAGAGTGACCATTGGGGCCATCCGCCCTCCACCTCCACCTTTCACCCAGAGCTCTCCTCTGGAACAGTTCTGGATGAGCACACAGGTGCCACACAGACTCCAACTTTAAACCCTCAAACATCCAAGGCCGCTGAACAGCAGAAGCCAGCAGGGAGCAAAGTCCAGGATGTCTCAAAGTCCACCACCAGCCCTGATGGTGTGGGTAGAACTAGGACTAGTGCCAAACCCCCTGCACTGCACACCCCCCAGCCCACGCAGGCAGCCGGACCAACAGAGCCTCCCTTCATCGGAGACACTTACATGAGTGAAGACGTCCCTCCACAAACAGTGAGTTCTCCTCATCTGTGACCATCTGCTTGTTTTGGTTCATCCGTCTGGGCAGACCTCTGGAAGTTCAAGCGCATATGTGAAGAGAGTTTATAACTGCACTGTCGCACTGACCAAATTAATCTGTGGCTGCATGTTTTTGAGTGTAGAAAATGAGACAATCCTGATTAATTTGCAGCCGTTTGTTTTCTGTTTTTTTTTAATTCTAGTAACATTTCCTGGTTCCAGCTTCTCAAATGCAATAACATACTACTTACTTGGGTTTTGGACTGTTGATTAGAAATTGTTGCCAATTATTTTTCTTTCAATCAACTAATCAACCAATCAATCAACTAATTATTTCAGTTTTAGAGTTCTGTCCTACTGTCAGCCAGGAACAAATCTTTTGCCTCTGGGAAATTCAAATGTACATTTCTCACCATTGTTTTAAAAACTTTATTTCAAATTTTACAGACAAATTTATTACAGAAAAATGTTTGCGACATTCAATATTTTTCTTTTTGTAAGGAAATCCTATGAAAAGACAAAAAACAGGATATCTCAGAAAACTTTCAGACTTCCCAACTGTGTGTGTGGCTCTCAAACACAAGACAGCTCATAAACATACTGTATTTAGTTTAATTTAAAAATGGACCTGGACTATTTTCAGCGGCGGATGAATCCATATTTGGTGCTCTAGTGAGTATTTACAGAAGCAGTATGGTGTGTGTGTGGGACTGAGTCAAAATATACTACGCTGTGTGTTCACAGTAATGAAGGAACATGTCACCCAGTGTAACAGTGAGACTCACTGATGTGTTGTTAATATTATTTGGAAACAATGGAGCTCTATGGCTCAGAGGAATAAGACATATCACACATGATACGTGTCAGTGGGAGACATTCACTGATGGTTTTGGTTTTTTCATGAGATTTGCTGACAAATGGAAAAAATAATCAAATAGAGTGAATATTAATTATGGTGGAAAACACCTCTGGTTTTGGTCAGGCTCCAGATTTTGTCATTGGGCGGCGGCCTCAGTTGAACTGGGTGGGTCTTTCTTCCCAGTAAATACAGTCTCCCAAAGCCAAAACTGACTGTGTTTCTCCATCTCCTTTCCTTCCTGAATGTCTGTCTGTCATCAACACATGTTGCGTTGTCACCTGGCTCCACTGAGGGAAACACACCGATAAGATGAAACAAAAACATTGAGTCTTTGAACGTCTCATGGGGGAGATCACAGGGTTTTGTGAGAGTTAAATGAAATAATGTCTCCATATGGTGAATCACAATCTTTTTTTCCACACACACACACACACACACACACACACACACACACACACACTCTCTCACTCTCTCTTTAGTTTGAAGCAGCTTTTAAAGCTTCAGCTCAGTTAAGCTGCAGTTTAGGTTGTGAGCTGTTACATAAGACGAGGTTGCACAGACTGAATTGATAATTGATTCCACAGAGAACCAGGGGCAGATAACTCAGTCAAGGAGATAAAGTTGCTAATGAGCTCGGTGCCATCCGCTCGCTCGTGTGTTTACGCGCGTGTGTGCGTGGAACCTTTCCATGCTTCCTCGTCTGCCCGCATCTGGTTTTTATGTTGCATGCATCAGCAAAGTGTCCATGTAAATTTGATAATGAATTTGTCTTTCTCTGGGGAAAAAAAACACCAGCTTCCATCCTGTCGTTAGCCTTGTTCTTTTTTTTTAAGCGTGTAATTACCACATAATTGCCTCCAGTCGGGGTCTGGAGGTTAATATTGAGGTTGCACAGCCTCTAACTGAAACTAATGATGCTGCATTCGTACTGATGGTGCACAGGGTGGAGACGAGAACTTGTGTGTGCTTTGATAACAGTGAGGCCTTATCTGCTCCCACGCAGGACTGCCCAGACGGCATCCGCAGTCAGGTTGCACAAACTGAATTTGGGGGGAGGTTTCTGCAACATGTTCCGGTCCTGCAGTGGGCCAAACACGCAACCCGTGAACAACACCAGCGCCTCAGCAAGTACCCAGGAGCGCACGGCTGGGAGGGGATCGATTACAAAAGTGAGTCTTTGTTTTTGTTCTGTTTCTGTGTAAGTATTTTGTTTTTCTTAAGTTTAAAAAAAATCTTTTTTATTAGATCTTTTTCCCCATTACTTTTTATAAATATTTTTCTACGGTTGTCTTGTTATATATTGTTTTTAATGACATTTTCACTGTTGTGTGGTTATTTAAGTCTCTCATGGGCCCATGAACCTGATGAACCCCTGAGTGAAACACGTCGCCCCCCAACACCTTCTAATCTGTGTGTTGTACATGTACTGTGATGCTTTCAAGTACCCATCAGGATGCACAAGATTAGGAACACATGGCTGCTTCATTATATCTAACCTGTGTTAGTTTGTGGTAATGACTCAAAGATTTTTATTTAGGAATATGACCTCAGAGGGCACCTGGGACCATGTGGCAGTGCTTTTTATGCATCTATAATATAACTGAAACATTGATGTTATAACTGTTGTGCAGACAGTGAAGGTGCTCTGAAGCTCATGGTGTACTGCGAGTTCTGTTATCTAAAATCTGCATTCCACATGTGTCCAGACAGAAGAGACAAAGTGTTGTGGATAAGTGATTGAGGAAGCGTGGGCCTCATCACGGTCGACATTTCTTATCATGTTGAGATAATGGGAGATTCCTGTGTGTGTGCCCACATATGTAGCCTCGGGGGTTTTCTTTCCGTCAGACATAATGCAAATAACTCCAACTGTTGGTGGCTGTAACTACAAAGGCACACACAAAAAAAAAAAAGAAAAAATGAAAGATGAACTGTGTTTTCCTGTGTCGACAGCTCTGGTGGAAACTCTCTCCGTCCTCAACTTCACTGCTAACTGGCAGATGTTGGACGACTGGAGGGATCGCAGCAATGACTCAAAGTGTATCCACTGTGCTGTGGTGGGGAACGGAGGGATACTGAAGGACTCAAAGAAAGGGGAAGAGATCGACAGTCATCACTATGTCTTCAGGTAGACAAACTAATGCTGCATAAAGAGTTTCCTGACAGTCAAACCAATACTGTTGCCTGTTTCTTCACAAGCAAAAACATGTGCAGCCACAGACTTGCAGGGGTGTGGTGCAGGGTCTGAGCAGATTTTGATGCTCCCACAAAAATGTGCAGAGCTGTAGTTAAATACAAGCACATAAAATCAGGCCTTAGATTAACAATTGTAATATTCATTTCACAATATCATAAGACCAAGAAGAGTTGCAAATTCTCACATTTCAGAAGCTGGAGCCATCAAATGTTCACATCACATTTTTTGTGGAAAAAAAAAAAAAGATTTAAATGTTTGAACGATTAACAAAGTAATCACCAGTTCACAGGAAAGTGCTGCCTCTAGAATTTGTGATTTTCATAATCACAAAATTTCCTAAATTATAATGTATAATAATAATAATAATGTAATGTATAATAGAACCTCTCCATTGTGGGTCGTTATAATTACAACAGTGCCCCGGTTTCCAAAATGTGCCTTTTGAATATTTGTGAAGAGGTTATTGTTTTGGCATTTTTGCTTTGAGTTGATGCCTGAACCCTTTGTAATATGCTAAAACTATTCTCCCACACTACTGAAACTGAGCCATTTTGTCATTTGGCATTTTATCAAAGTTTATCTCTAACTGGTTAATTATTGACAACAATATTAACAGAAGAGACTACAGAGTTTTCAGGTGGTTTGAGGTTGAAGAATCTGAACAGCTGCTCTGTTCTCTCGGTTCTCAGGCTGGTTCTGCTCTGGGTTTTGTCAAGAAGCAGTTTTGCCAATAAAACTTCAGTCAGACCGGTGTGTGTTTGTTACACTGACTGACGCATTCAAGGATAATTAACAGAAACCTTCTGTTTTTATGTTTGTGTGTCCATGTACATTGTATGTGTGTGTGTGTGTGTGTGTGTGTGTGTGTGTGTGTGTGCGTGTGTGTGTGTGTGTGTGTGTGGACATCTGCGTTTGTGGACACTTGTGATCCTCAGGACCAACGGAGCGATCATCAAGGGCTTTGAGCAGGACGTGGGGTCTCGAACCACCCACTACACCTTCTCCACCAACACGTTAATGAACTCCATGAGGAGCTACGCAAGAGTCGGGTACAGAGGACCACCTGTGTCAAAGGTCAGGAGCAAAACAAGAGCCTCTCCTTCATTAAATGATAAAGGAATCAGGCCTGAAGTCACATCTCTCTCTCGCTCTCTCTCTCTCTCTTTCTCTCTCTCTCTCTCTCTCTCTCTTTCTCTCGCTCTCGCTCTCGGTCTCTCTCTCTCTGTTCTCGCTCTCGCTCGCTCGCTCTCTCGCTTTCTCTTTCTCTGCTGCTCTTCAACAGGAAACACGATACGTCTTTCTGCCTGATCACGACCGTGATTACCTGCTGATGAAGGCTGCAGCCACGCACACTGCAGTGGAGAGAGGGCCTGAGACAGCCAAAGAGTAAGTTACATTTAACAGGTGGTCATTAAAATAAAAAATAAAAAATCATGGTCTTGTTATTTTGTTCTTCATATTCACAAATTTACAGCTAGAAGCTCCTTTAAACAGTTCACATCTCTTTGAGCTTCATCAGACATTTTCTGCCACACTGTTTAGACAAAATGATCCTTGAAGACCTTTTGGAGGGTCTTCAATTTGAAACAGTGGAGGAACCTCTTATTATTAATTATTAATTACTATATATTATAATTATGATAATCTAATAATATACAATAATGTTAAAAATGATGATGAAGATGAAACAGCAGATATCTTAAAGCAAGGTTTTATTGATCAAACTTGAAAAGTACAACCATGATGATTTAGGGTTGAGCATTTATAATATGTATATATAATATATATACAAAATATTACACAGGAATAAATTTATTTTTAGAATGTTTTTATTTATATTTCAAAATATTTCAGTTTGGATTAAAGTGCATTTTAATCAAGAGTGAAATACCTCAACAAATATTAGATGAATGTTCATGAAGTTTGGTTCAGACACTCGTGGTTCCCAGAGGATGAATCCTATTTTTCACTTGGTGCCACAACGAGAGCGTCATTGGTGGTTTTGAGGGAAATATCTCAGTAACTGTTGGATAGATTGTCACAAAGTTTGGTTCAGATGTTCTTGTTCCTCGTCTGGATTGTAATAAAACTGATGATCCTGTGACTTCTTTCTAGCGCCGTCATCAGATCAAAATTCAAATTTGTCCAATACTTGCAAAGTGAATGATATTTTGTGTTTAGCACTGCTATTAGCATCGGTAAAGCTACATATGTCTCTCTCTCTCTCAAACACATGTAGTTTTTATATATTTATTTATTTGTTGTATCCTCAGTTATGCTTTTGGCCGTATCTGTCTCGTTATTGTTGCACTTGTCTTCGCCTGTTTTGTAATCACTTAATAAAGGGAAAAAATATTTTTAAAGAAAGTTCTGATTCACCAGTTTTAATCATAGTAATGTTGTCTTTCCTCCGCAGCCCTCTGAAGTTCTTTGGAGAGGATGTGTCGGCTGAGAAGCTGAAGATGTACCACCCAGATTTCATCCGTTACCTCAGAAACAGGTGAGAGGATGCAAACAGGGCTCGCATTTCAAATAGCTGGAGGTGAGATTAAAGGAGCAGCAGAGGCCGTGCTGTCTCTCCCACTGTGTTGACAGAGGGCAAATGATATGGCCTATTAATGTGTGTGAAACTTTCATATCTCCTTTCTCCACTTTTACCCTAAATGAAGCTGCAGCACTGACACCACAGATGCATCTGTTTGTTTCAGATTCCTCCGATCGAATGCTCTGAAAACCAAATACAAGGACATTTACCGTCCATCAACGGGGGCTGTGATGCTGCTGGCTGCACTGCACACCTGCGACCAGGTAACATCCATCATTACTGTTCTGTACACTTGCGTCAGCCAGCTTTTTTATTTACTGTGGGACGAGGCTGCACTTGCCCGATAGCGTGAGAATGTTTTGACTTGTAGCCGTTGGTCTTGTAGGCGCACGCAATGTGTGGCCTTGACTGGGTGGTAGCGGGTGCAGATGCACTCCAACCACAGTTCTGTAGAAATCGTACTTTGCTGTGACTCAGATCAGCCACCTGTTTTTCAACCTCTCATAATCTGAGCCCTGTGTTGGCCAATCAGATGTCTGAGTCAGTCAGATTTTGGACCCTACTGTTTATAATATCATCATATATTGACGGGCTTTGGGATGCATATATATATATATATATATATATATATTAATGTAACATATGTCTATGATATAACCACATACATAAACATACATATTTGTATGGGCTAGACATATGTGTCAATATAATAGGTTTTATATACAAGTTTTTACCAAGATGTTTTTATTTTATATATACATATATTTCATATTTGGAAATTCAGTATATGTACATATACACATAGATTGTGCCTTTTTTGTGTTTCCTGTGTACATGAAGGTGAGTGCGTACGGCTTCATGACCCCAGACTATAAGAACTACTCTGACCACTATTACGACAGCAGCTACCACCCTGTGGGCTTCTTCATCAACCACGACCTGCGCATGGAGATGTCCCTGTGGCAGCAGCTGCAGCAGGCGGGCCTCATACGACTCTACATGCACAAGTGAATTCACGTGGACCACAAGTGAGCGTCGCCCTGTGTGCACACGTGAATGTGAGGATACAGGAAGTCCAAACAAAGACTACCCTGCCTGCATTGTTTCAAAAATGACTCTCTGAACTGAGCAAAACAAACACGTGGCAGAAGTTTTCTTTTTATGAAGGAAACAAGAATTCTTCTTCTTTTTTTTAATGACAGCTGCTGTGATTGTTGAGGAAGCAGATTTAGTTTTATTTATCAACAAAGTGTTTGTTTAAAACTTTTAATTTAAACATTTAATTTTCCCAGAAACATGGTTTTGGTGATTTGTAGTTTGAATACGACCAGACATCTGCATTGTTTGTCAGACAGTTGACCCCTTGTCATTGAAATATTCATGGTCCCCAGAGGATGACTCTGGTGATCCATTGACTTTTTATCTAGCGCCACCGACAGGTCAAAGTTTTCACTTAACCAGTGAAATACCTCCGCACAAAGCAGATGGATTGGCACAACATTTTATGAAGACATGCAGGTCCCCAGATGAGGAAGTTATGAGTTTGATCAGGTTTCAGTTTCATCAGGTCAGACACATTTATAACCACAGCTCACAACAATTGCATCAGCCTCAGCTTTACTTTATATTTATTGCTAATTAGCAAATGTTAGCATGCTAAGAGATGAAGATTTGACCTGCTAAACAACAGCTTATTAGCATTTTGACAATGCTAATGTTAGCATATAGCTTAAAGCACTGCTGCATTTTATTGATCTGAGTCATGAGCAGCTGAGTGGGAAAAATCGTGACAATATCTCCTGCACCGTCAACACGCCGTCGTCAAAATGGCTACGAAGCCTCCACCACTGGCTGTTCTACTGAGTTTTAATTAGCTGATTTAAGGAGCTATACAGAGTCTGTTCATGTTTGGTGGCACTGGGTTAGCATGTAGACATCTTCACGCTCCCCAGTGATGTTTCCATTCTCCCCATTTTTCTGACATTGTTTGAAAGCACCACGGGAAAGAAGTTGTCAGTGCGCTTGATCTGGTTAATTTGAGTCAGTTCCCATCATTGTCCTCACTGTCCTTTTTTTAAAGGTGCATTTAAAAGATGAAGAGGGACTCAGGAAACCTGCTCTCAAAAGTGACATCAGTACTGGTAGATCACCTGTCTGAGGGCTGAAAGAGTTCTGTCGGATTTTATTGCACCGAGTTTTTATTTGAACAGATAATGTAGATAATTGATTTTTTTTATTTATCTCCTCTGTTCTTTTTTTTTTTTTTTTTTTTTTTTTTTTTATTACTGCTGAGAATCGAAAACAAACTTAATCCATTTTAAAATCTGGTTTCCTTATGATTCTACTGGAATTAGTGACTGACCTAAAGTTACCCCTCACCCAGATTTATCTCAGTTTTAAACTGGACTTGTTTTGGTCTACAAGTCACTAAAACCATGTTTGCTGGGAAGACTTTAGATGGTATCGTACAATCTGAATTAAAGTGCTACTCGTGTTACTGTGTCGTACAGTACAGTGTGTTGACAAGGGACAAGACTGCTACTGAGTTTGGCCACTTGCTTAAAATACCCCGTCTCCCCACCCTAAATAGATGGTTAGAGCGCTGCTGGCAGTGGCCATGGTCTTTTTCTGACATTTACTCACATTATGTTCAGGCTCTGACTCTGTCTACATGTCTGTGTGTGTTTTACTGTGGAAGGTAGCAAAAAAAACTATGTGGCTATAAAGCTCAATGACACAAATATTTGAACCTGACAATGTATTTAGTTTAAGGGACTTAACTTATTTTTTCTTTGTTCTGAAATCTTCTAAGCACATAAGTGTACTTTTTGTTTTACACTGTGTCACACTGTGATAAGAACAGTATGTGGGCTCTACAGGATTTTCAGTGCCTTTTTTTTTTTAATGTGAATCAGTAGTTTGGATGAAGCATTTGTGACTCAGGCGGAAATCTGCGAGGCGATTCAGTACGTCTCCACGACAACACAAGCGAGGACGTCAGTGGCCTTTTCTCTGTTTGGATTTGGAGACCATCGCCAAGGACTTCTCTCAAGGAATCTGCGTTTTCATCCGCCACACCTGGACTCCTCTCTGAGCCGAGACAATGAAGGGTCTGGGTTCAGTGAGATTGATTGTTGCCCCCCCTCATCTCAAACTGAACGGAGGCATCACATCCACAATAGCACGGATGTACTTTTCTGTGTTACTGTAGGTCTTACGGTGAGGGAGGAGACAGGAAACCAAAGACACACTGTACATCAGGGAATATTTAAAATGTAACTACTTTGTATATGAAACCAACACATATTAAAACTAAGTGATCCAATCATTTTAATTATTATTATTTACAATGTGTAAAGGGAGGAAGAGGAGACCTTTTTATAGTGCAATTCCTGACTCTGAATCTGTATAAAAACAAACTGATTTTATCTCAGTGAGTTCGTCTTTTTTTGTTCCTCACTAAAACACATCCCATTATTTTGTATGACATGTAACTGTAAACTCCAAAGACACGTCATGTAAATGACTATAAAATAGATCTAATTAGAGGGAAAGCAGAGACAGTTGGTACACCTCCTGTTAATTAACTAAATTGCTAGTATAACTGACGGTCTTTTGATCACTGCACAGCACAAAGCTAAACATACAAAATTTGACATTAGTCTTCAAGCAAACATACAGTTCAAGACACAGACAATATATTTCTGATAATAAATACTGAAGGAATTTTTGCTTGTAGAAACTTGAAACTTGAAACTCAGCACGACTAAGTCTCGCAGTCTTTATTTTGTGTTATTTGTGCCAAATTAATATTTTTTTCAGAAAATAATTGTAAAAAAAATTCTTTTTGGAATACTATATTATGCTTCTGCACCAACGACAGCCAGGACCGGAGGCATTATGTTTTTGGGTTGTCCAGCTGTACATCCCATTCTTGTGAATGAGATATCTCAGTAACACTTTGAGGGAAATTTGGCACAAATGTTCACTTAATCTCAAAGATGAACTGATTACATTTTAATGGTCAAAGGTCAAAGTCACTGTGACCTCACAAGACATGTTTTTGGCCATAACTCACAAATTCATACACTAATTATGACACAGTTGAACTCAAATGTCTATAAGGATGAAATGAAGTGATTGCATTTTATATCCAAACTTAACTGTGACATCATAATGTTCTACAAAAACACCTATCATTAAATGCTGTAACTCAGGGAGGAGAGATCGGGACCATAATTCCTCCAGCTTGGCAGGTCGGCAGAGGCATGCGACCACCAGGGGGTAATTCTAGTTTTCACATTTATTTTAACAATTTCACAGAACAGAATTCCCTGTCCCACCCCCACCCAGAAAAAAAAGTGCATAGAGTGAAACATAATGAGACATTACACTTACGATGGTATCTCCCTAAAAGAGACCTTTGGTTGGCTTGTCATGGTGGTAGTTGTAGTCGTTGTATCCTTTTCTTCAACCATATTTGATCTTTTCAAGAGGAATACAACTGCTCATTTATCATCAGTCAATGAGGAGAGGGCATGCAGATTGCACTGCTTTGCATTTCCTGAACACACATAGAGCAAATTTGAAAGTGTCACCAAAACTTTCTTGATTACAGCATCCAGGATCTAGGAAACAGGAGCTCAGATGCAGCAAAAAGTTTTAAAAAAACTGTCATTATTGAATTCATGTATGTGCTTCTTTTTTAAAGCAGTGTGCTGCTCAAGTGAGAATGTGCTTTCAGATGACAGTAGCAACACACTCAGATCAAGGTCAATCATGAGTTTTGGAGACCTGACAGTCGACCAATAAAGGAACCACAAACTACTTTCCCACAGATCATTTTTGTTCCACTTTCTTTTATCAAACTTTCCTCATGACAAAGGTCCTCACACTCCCTTGACTGTTGAGTGTTTTGTGGGGAGGGTAGATGTGGTATGCAGGGCCTCTCCGTCCTCCTCTCCTCCTCACTCTCCCTGTAAAAACACAGAGGAACTAGGTGACCTCTTTATTTCCTCGGCTCCTTCTCCATCTTCACTGCGTCTGAGAGCTCAGCTCAGCGAGGTGGGGGGGGGGGGGGGGCTCGCAGAGCCAGATGTGCATGGCGCGATGTGGTCGGGGTGGGGGCTGCATTAGGGAGTTACCAAAGCCATGAGTCAGACTTTGCAGTGCTGCCAAAATGTCTGGCATTAGGGACATTACAATTACACACTGCAGTTGGTAATGTGCAGCCACCAGCCTGAAAGACGAGGCCTTTTCCTGACTGGTGTTTAAGTGAATGCATGTGGGGAGAGGGGCAGATTATCAGCTTGTATGATGGATAAATTTCCCATCAAAGCAGGTGAAAGGAAACAGTTTTCAGAGGATTTACTGTCTGATGTGTTGTGTTTTCTCAAGTTAATTTAAAAAATGTGGGCTCTCATTCCTCCATGACAACATGTGCCACTTTGTACAACTACAACAGAACAGTAGTCTGTGTTAACATCATGATTATAGTGCATTTGACATTTATCAAATCATAAAAACAAACAGCAGAGGACGCAGCTGGTATTTTTCATTTCTATTCACGAAAAGTCGATCAATGATCCAGCTTTGTAAAAAACCTGAAGGGAGTGACGTGCTGTTCTCCCCTCAGACATGAAGAGTAACTAACTGCTGACCCTTAGAGGTGAGAATAAGTCAGTGCACCACCTCACAGTAAATCTGACGGTCTCCATCTGTGTCTACAGCCTCTGTTTCCTAAGCCCGGACCTTAACCCAGCAGAGAAGCTGTGGACTGAGCTGAAGAGAGCTGTTCGCATCCTGTCTGAGCTGAAGTAGAAGAATGGTCCAGAATTCCTCCTGAACTTTGTGCAGGTCTGATCAGCAGCTACTGGAAAAGCTGGTTTCAGGTTGTTGGCGCCAAAGGAGGTTTGACCAGTTATTGAATCCAAGGGTGCACCTACTTTTTCCACCAGCACTGTGAATGTTTAATGGCTGTGTTAAATTATGACACAAAAGATTAGAATTGTTTGTGTGATATTAGCCGATATTTGTGACTTAGATGATCAGATCACATTTTATGACCAGTCGATGCAGAAAATATAATATTTGACATGTTGTTAAGCAGAGTACAAGGAGATACCTCCTCACTGAAAAGAAAACAAGGAAGAACACAAACTACTGGACTCAAGTTTCTAACATGCTGCTTGTTAGCTAACATGCTAAAATGCTAAATCTGCTTTCAGATCAGTCACAGCTGTAGCAGGTCACAGCATGAAAACACCTCAATACCAACACATACTCATGGCTCAGCTCAGGGGGTCTGCAGCTGGAGGGGGACGACAGTGCAGCACCACAGAAGAAGAAGAGGCATCTGTCGTCACTTTCCATCAGTGTGAGACATTTACAACAACACAACAAGATGCACAACATTTGTCATCAGTATTGTGACTGTTGTACTGATGACAAAATGAACTGGAAACAATAAGTTTATTGAAATATTTAGTTTTTTTTTAATGGTCTCACACACACACACACACACACACACTACAGAAGTCAGAGAAACAGTCTCGTTATGCAGACATCATATGCTTCTCCCTCCCTCTTGCCAGCCCCTTTCAAAATAAATTATTACTCTTATTTTGCAAAAAATCTGAAGACAGAAAAAAAGAGATTTATACCCTGACTCGGAGCGAGAAGAGGAACAGTTTGTGCTTTCAGTGCAATCGAGACAGTAACATTCCAGTCGTTCATCATCAGCACCGGGACTTTGAAAAGATTGTGAAGAAACTGAGCGTATTGTTAGAGAGACACACAGCAGCTGACACTGACTGCCCTTCCACCTGTTTTATTGGTTGTCTCATCTCACTGCACTGCAGAACAGAGAGGTTCAGGAGATCCTTTGTTCCCACTGCCATCAGGCTGTACAACACCTCAGCCAAAGGAAGTGGACTAATCTAATTATTATTGTTTATTTATTATTAACTGTTACTGTTAGTCCTTCATCAGCAGCCTGGAGGACGCAGAGTGGCAGGGCATCCAGGACAGGATGGTGGAGAGTCCCTCTTAGTTTAAACTGATTGATTTGTTCAACAGCTGTTCATAAACACAGAAAAACTCAATTTCAAATCAATCACTGCCACTGTTACTGTTGATACCTTGATACTTACATCTTTTTCTTTGTCTCAGCCTCACCTGGCTCAGGTGTCTGGGAGGATCATCGGGGTGGTGTCCCAGCTGGTCCTGCATCTGCTCACCCCGGCTCTGAAGGTCCAGCTCCGGCCCGAA